GTTTGTCGCCGACCGATCGTTACGCCGCACCAGCGATGACATTACCAACGCATTATTACCCTTTTTTTTTTTGCGGGGAGCACTGTGTAGCACAGTTACGTGCATTTGCTTCTGAAACGGCAATCAGTGTCAACCCCTGCCTGGTTGACGTGATGTTTGATGATTAACAATAAGGGCGGATCCTTTTAAATGTCCGACCCTGAGCCAAACCAAATATAAGAAGGATCTAAGACGTAAACTAGCTGCCCGGGGTGTGGAAGGGGCGTCAGGCCAGGATTAATTAGCGTCCAATTCGGTAAGCAGTTGGATTATTCCGAATAGAGATGGAAGAGAATCTGAGTATTTCGCGCATGGGTTTCTCAACTTGGCACAAGAGAACAAAAGGGCATCATCCCAGTTGTGAAAACACTAGACTGACTGGACCGGTGTGGACGAGTCTTTGTCAGCCCCTCGCTCGTCGTTCTTGCTCACCGGAAACACGCCATTTCCCGCAGGGTGCGCCAGAGTCGGGTATCGTTATCGGAGGCCTACTTCTGATTGCAACATTGTTCTCCGGATGAAAAATGCGGAAGCTTCTTTTCTCGACGAAACATCCGTGACAAACTGCACACACACGCAAAAGGCGAAAGTTTCATCGCCAAAACGAGTGAAATTCTCTGTTGGAAAAAGCAAAAACACTTTTGTTAACTTTGAGAAGTGATGCCTTATTTTCCTTGCCGAAGTCTATCTGGTGTTCCGGTCACGAGTTTTCCGAGCTCGAGCCATTTCCGAAGCCTAGATACAGGGAGGTCAAATCCTACGCATCACTGAGTAAATAAGTAGTACAATCTGGGAAGACTTCAACTTGTTTTGCTTAGTATGTTCCGTCAGGGTGGTTGAGAGTCGTGGTAGTAGTAGTAGTTTCGTTCAAGCCAGTGAGACGGCTGGTGTATTATGTTTATATATTTTATAACGACTTGAGCCGGTCAGACGCTCATTCGGTCGTACATGTGCATCCCTACCTGAATACTACCTTGGTGTCACGACTTACGACCGACGACTGGCGACCTTTATTTTTCTATCTATGTCGTTTCTTTCAGAGTACAGAGAAGAAGGAAGCCGTACAACTCTCGCTACTACCAGTGCAGTACTGGTCTACATGCAAATTTAGGCAATTCGCAGGTTCTTTCCAAGCATGGACACACTGGAAAAAAGCACAAGGCAGGCTTCACCGTAAACTGCAACGCTACTACGTAGTACTAGTAGTACTAGCCGGTCTACAAATGGTGCTGATTTGCAGGGAATTTGCAAGCAGGAAAACGGCGGCGATAGGCTGTAATCCAAGGAGATGTGTGTACAGACAACAGAGTCGGTCACCCGGCAACTGGACTGAAATGACCGGCCACCAACCACCAGAAAAGGGCTGCAGCTTTGCGCCCAAACTAGAGTGCGGTATCTTATCTGCATCTGTTATCGTTCCCCGGTACAGTGCGGTATGATATCTGCATAAAAGGATGCCAATTTTTTCGCCAAACAGAGAAAGTGGATATTTTTGCTTAATCAGTCATGGCTACATCGGAGATTCCATAAATAGAGGTTCCTTATCTTGTTCCAACGCTGGATTTTATTTCCCGGGTTTCAACGTTAATATCTGGGAAAACTCTGTAAATCAACCGGCTGATCCCTTCCTCCTGTAAACCACCTCCTCCTCTCGACACGTGCCCCCTGTGGAGCCTTCCCACCACATCCCATTCCAGCCTTATCTTCTTTACAGGCTTCTTGTCCTATACACATTTATTCATCTTCCTCTTTTCTGTTCTTCACGCCCGCCATGGAGAGACGCTCCCAGCGATGACCACCATCCCTCACTGCCGCGAATCAAGGGAGGTTTTGACGCATGCCCCACTGGCGTTGCAACGAAGCTTCCAATGGAAGCACCACCGAGCTTTTTACCGCTCATCGGTGCCGCCGGCGATGTGACGCGGCGCTCGACCACGGCCACCGTGCTGCAATGCAACCTCGTCGGCGTGCTCGCGCTGCGATGCAACCTCGCCGGCGCCGGAGCTGCAATGAAGCGCTCGCCGACGGCTCCCCATGCTCCGATGCAGCACTCTCGGGACGGTTCCCGGTGCTTCATCGCAGTGCTCGCCTGCAGCTCCCAATGCTCCGATGCAGCACTCTCGTGGTGGTTCCTTGTGCTGCATCGCTGCGCTCGCCGGCGGCTCCCCGTGCTCCGATGAAGCGCTTCCCATGCTGCAATGGAGCTTCGTCGGCGCCTCCTCGTGCTCGACGGGGCGCTTCCGGTGCTGCATCGCGGCACTCGCCGGCGGCAATGAAGCATCAACGGACCAACAGAGCAATGCTGGTGCTGCAATGGAGGGTGCTGCAGCTTCCGCCGGAGCTACATGTGCAGTGCGTTGACTCGGGGACAGTGCGTCTGCAGCACACTTGATGGCAGGTTGGGGATGGACGCGATGGTGCGTACTTCGTGTAGTCCTGTCATGAGGGGATCGAGCGGCTGAAATCACAATATACCTGCGCGAATCAACAGCTGATCAGGCGGCTTAGGTTTGGCTGTTATCAGCCGACTGATCCGTAGCAGCCGCCTAATATCTGAGCTATTCCCCGGCTGCTTTGTTTTTCTTATTTTTGAATTTGAAGTGTCGCCATTTTATTCAAATATGCTCGGCTAGATCCTAGAGCACACCATTCACAATACAATCCAGAGGGGTTTGAAGCCATGTTTCACATATCCGCAGTTGTCCTTAGTTGAGATATGTCTGACGCCTTAGCCGATCGCTGCACCCAACAAACCCTAAACTCCTCTTCAAAGCGGAGCAAGTCCTTCACTTCTTCAACAAGAGGCCAATATATAGTCATGTTTCTATCGGATCATTGAGTTTACCCCCCCATCGCCTTGTTGTTGATCTCCACAATGAGCTTCCGAATGTCTTTATTCAAAAAAAGCTTTGGAATGTCCTTTTCCATTGCAATTGTATTGCACGATGAATTCTACCCGTTCATGGTCGGAGATGGGCAGGGGAAGGGTTGACTTTCTCTAGTGAGGGACGACCCATGATGGTCTTTAAGCACCGCTCTGTCTCCTTCCCTATTCCTCATTCTTCGACATCACCTTAATCCAACCATAGGTGGGAGGGAGCCAATGCTCCGTCTACGAGGGTTTGGGCATTATTGCCGCACCTCTGTATAACTTATGCCACTCCTCTATCAGACACCTGCTCAACAATTTTTTATGGCCACAGGTACACTTTCTATCATTCGCTTCATTCCTAGCCAATCATAGGTTGCAGAGCCCCTGAATTACCATCAATTTTTTCGCCACACCGGCATGACGTACCCATTCCATCATCCAGCTACGTAGGTCGCTTTGGAAGGCAATTGGCATCGGCAAGTTCGTTATGCAACCCCCCTTTTCATACTACCCATGTGCTACCATTAAATTTGTAAATCACAAGTCACCGTTGGACAATGTGCTTAGCATGAAAAATGGAGAAGAATAAGGAAATGTCCATTTTGTAGTCAGGCCTTTGTTTTAGTTTAATTTTCTCAGATATACACCATGTTACTTTTCTTCACGTTTTCTGTGGACATAAAAGCATTATCTTTGTTGTCATCGAGGAATAAGGAGACACAAACATGTCATTGAACTACATGCACCTTGTAAAAAAGAAAATTAACATGCCATTATCTCGTGATAGGTTAGAAGTGTTTCATTTGTAAATTAGACATACAATGGACTAGACTTTTTGAAGCGGTGACAATGCCAGAGTAATGGGGTGAATAGAATGGAAGTAAAGGGGTAGTAGGGCTCAAACTAAATATGTACTTTGTTTTCTTGCAAGGTGATGGTGGTTAAGAAGACATGACAATATCCAAGGATGAAGGAAGCGGGAGAGAATCGACCTCTATATTAATTGAAATCACATGCCATCATAAAATGGCATACATTTGGATCTATAATTTTTCACATGGCAACCCACAAGCATTCAGCCAGCATCACAAGCAACGCTATCAATCACTATTCATGGGTGCTTCACACATGCCTTCTCATTGTGTGTGTTTGAATGCAAGCCCATAGAAAAATATGGGAGCCTTGTATTGTATAAGCTTGACCAATAATTTACACTGTGTTTTCATGGAAGAAGATGAAAAAATTGAATTCGTGCTCTCGTTCAAATGTAATAATAGATGTAGGAAGTGTCTTTCCAACTTTAATCAGTGTCAACCATCCTAACATGAAGATTACAAATATCAACACCACTTCATTAACACAAGCTCTACAGACCGCATCACTAAACCCCATGGGCTCTCATCCCTCAAGCATGACACTGAGCATGGTGTTAGATTTGTCAAATGAATAAAAAAACCAAGAAATGGTGACACATGCATTGTCGGGCGGCAACAAAAGGCAACTCTTCCTGCCCAATGCAGAAGAAAGCTCGCGGGATATAGCCAATGCCCAAAGGAGAGAAGACATGGGCAATGATAAGAAGACATTTTCAATTATGAACTTTGGTGACATGTTCAAGATAAGACGGAGCAAGACATTGTCAGAGTCAGGGGCACATATAGGACACCCCATCAAGCTCATTTTCCTTTATACATTTGTTATTCATATACATAGTGTGTAACACCCTCAACTCCAAAACATGTGTGATTTTTCTCAGAAAAATAGAAAAAAATGTGGTTTTTGGCACAAACAAATGTGATATTTAGATTGTTTTTAGCAACATGTGCTATTTAGAAAAAAAAAGCAACATGTGATACTTAGAAATGAGTGGATGACACATGTCATGGGCCAGGATTGCGGGAAAAGGCTCCATAAAATGGGCCACGCTACCTCGTAGTAACCTGTTAAGCCCAAAACAATAAATAAATGAGGCCTGTTGTTTCTTCCGCACAGCGCTAGAGCCCAACACAGCGTTCCCGAGAAAAACCCAAAACCCAACACAACGGCGATAAAGGAAGCTGAGCGCTCCACATCACACGATTGGTGAGCGATGCGCGCGAGCGGCGGCGCGAGCCCACGACCCGCACCACCGAAGCGCTCCGCCCCTCCGACCACCACCAAACTACCAGTGCCCGCCTCCTCCTCCCTCGCCATGCCGGCCCCTCGCCTCGCCCACCTCCGCCGCCTACTCTCCCTCCACTCCCCACCTCCCCACCCACTCGCCCCCAGCCCCGCCCGCCCCCTCCGCCCATCCTTCCACCTCCCCCGCGCCATGGCCGGCGCCGCACAGGCAGGTAAGCTCGCGAACCGGACTGAAACAGAAACTTCCTCTCTGCTCCATTTGGGGACAGCGAATGATGCGGCGGTGCGTGTGCGTGGGGGGTGGGCGCAGGTGCGGCGACGGGGTCGGCGGAGTACGAGGAGGTGCTGGGGTGCCTGGCGTCGCTGATCAAGCAGAAGGTGCGCGCGGACACCGGCAACCGCGGCAATCAGTGGGAGCTCATGGCCAAGTACCTGCAGGTGGTGTTGCTGCGACGGCGGTCTATTCGATTCATCTGTGGTTTGTTCTGTTGTTCCTGATTGCTGTTTGGTTTGTTTTGTTTTGCTAGATACTGGAACTGGAGGAGCCCATCACGCGGCTGAAGGTGGTTCACGTCGCCGGGACCAAAGGGAAGGTGAGTGCAGCTGGACGCGGCGTTAGGGATGGCGTTGCTGGGTTAAGATTTGAATTGTTCCGGAATTCTGGATGGGTTTAGGCTTGCGGTTTTAGTTTATTGGTAACCAAGCACAGCAATAGTTGTAACAGTATGAACTAGTGTTATCTACATCGTTTGCATTTCAACTCTGTTTTCTCGTGAAACGTTGGATTGGCAAGATGACCAGATTGCCCCTCCGCCTCTGTCTCAATCTTCCCTGGACGCTGGTGGGGGCACATCCTCGAGCCTTCATCCAAGTCTCTACGCAGGTGCCACACTGTTATATGTTTGGTCGAATGTCTGGAAGGAGCAGAGCAGACACATTTTTAGAAAGGGAATGAAATGACTTCTTAGATGCCGAGCGGATTTCTTTCCTCACTCAAGAGGATATCTTACTCCCTCCGTTCCAAATTACTCGTCGCAGAGATGGATGTATCTAGAACTAAAATACATCTAGATACATCCATACCTGCGACAAGTAATTCGGAACGGAGGGAGTACATTATAGTGTGTCTTGCAGTGTTTAAGCCAACAGGTAGACAGCCTGCTTCTTTGTTTTGCCGAGGCGACCGAGCCCCCCTCCCCCCTATACTTTTAGAACTTTGTTCCTCTGAATGAAGGACGACGCTCCTACCGTTTTTCCAAAAAGAGAAGGAAAATAAAACATTGGATTGCCTTGTTTTTTATGTGTGTCTTCATCTGGCGTGAAACACGGAGTAATACAAATTGGCATCAAGCAGTTTACTTTAGAAACTAACATAATTGCTGAAGTAGCCTTTACCTGAGGCCTTGCTTATTTTAATGAAGTGTTTGTAATTTTGTAGTCTGTGTTGTGTTTCTAGTTGTTTGTGATAATGGTTTATGACCCAGCGATATCCAACAATATAAACAGACTATAGCACTTTCTGATTGTTTCCGTGCGCACTTACTGAGTCAATCCTTTGTGATATTCTTGCAAAGAAAATTTTTCTGCAGAGCGGCTGTTAACTTCTCTGGGCTTTTTATATCCGCCAGGGTTCAACATGCACATTTGCTGAGTCAATTCTTCGATCATGTGGTTTCCGCACTGGACTTTTCACCTCTCCACACTTGATTGATGTCCGTGAGCGGTTTCGGCTTGATGGGTACTTTTCTCTTTGCTGTGATGCTACATTTTTTAAAATGAAAGTCTTTAGTTGCTTCTCATTATAATTAGACTTGAGGGAATTGCTATTGTTGAGTGACTTATTTAATTCGTCCTATCACTATGCATCATTGTACTTACCTATTACCCTTTTTTTCTGGTGAGGTTACAGGCTGGACATTTCAGAAGAAAAGTTTATTAGGTATTTCTGGTGGTGCTGGAACAAATTGAAGGTACTAGTAAATATCACCTGTTTTATTTCATATGATGCCATTGCGGCTGTATCATGTTGAAGCAGGACTATATGAAATAAATACTAGTGGAATCTGCATCATTTCTTTTCATGAACTTTAATACTTTCCTTAAAACACCCATTAATGTGGTGAATTTGGTTTACGTTTCAGGTCAAAACTGGTGATGATATTCCAATGCCAGCCTACTTTAGGTTCCTTGCGCTGCTAGCATTCAAGATTTTTTCAGATGAGCAGGTTAATACTTTTTGAATACTTATTGTTCGACAAGCTTTCACTCTTGTCATGAATCTGGATAAATACATGTTTGGGCCTTTTCTTATATGTGAATTTTTGAAGACTTTCCCCATCTAAAGGCTAGACATTGTGGACACTTGCTCATTGTGTATCAGATTATTTGTATGTTTATGAAAGAAATGGCTTTATTGTCTGTAAAAGGCTGCCAGTACCCACCTCCATAATAATTTTCATCTTCACTCGAACTGTCTGTAGGGGTGAGTGTATGCGCGTGTATACGAGCGCTTGCATCTGTACTTTGTTAAAAAAAGCCTATATTACTGAGTACTGACAGGTGTCATATGACTGGTAATTTGAACTGTGAAAGGGTCAGTTATCAGGTAGTTTTATTCAAAGGCATCGTGATTTTCTAGGTAGATGAGCCTGTGGTATACTTCTCGATTTTCAGAACTGCATTTATGATGGTTTCCTAGAATGTACTCATTTTGTGTGTTGTGTGTTTAAGCAGGTGGATGTAGCTGTGCTGGAGGTCGGTTTGGGAGGGAAATATGATGCAACAAATGTGGTTTGTGACATTTCTATGATCATTTTGTAGTTAAATAATCCACATTAATATGAAGTGCCTGTATGACATGATCACCAACCAAAAAGAAAGCTCATACACCAGCACATGTGGTCCTTTTGATACTTCACTTTGATTCTGATTTTAATACTAAACTTGCATATGTACTTTAGCTGCCAAAAGGCTGGTGGGAGATCACAGTGCAAACTATAGCAGAATGACAGTCATGTAGTTCATTTAACCTAAGTTCACCTGTAAGATATCTAGAATCTGTCTGGAATGCATACTAAGCTTATCTTTCTTCCTATTTTAGCCCATTGAGATCACCGTCAACATCTTGACTTAAAAGACCGGAGAGCATAACTGCTGTGAAAATTGAAACTTTTGCAGGTAAAAGCACCTGTAGTTTGTGGGATATCTTCCCTCGGATACGATCACATGGAAATTCTTGGTTAGTCATGAAACTGAATGAAAAAATAAAATCCCTTGCATCCGTAGTAAACTGGTTTCATTCATGTTGTCGATGCTTGAGCAGGAAATTCACTTGTAGAAATTGCTGGGGAGAAAGCTGGAATATTGAAGGTTTCTCTCGACCTATTTTTTTCCTTAACATATTTTTTAGGAGAATGTAACATGTTTGCTTTGCTCCTATCTCCTTCAGCTGACAACTTCTGTAATTAAATTTGACTGTTGTTTTGTACCTGCATGACTTTCTTTTTATCAAAACACAGAAGGGAGTTCCAGCCTATACAGTTCCACAACCAGAGGAGGCAATGTCTGTACTGAAGCAGAGAGCTTCTGAATTGGGTGTATGTCATATTCCGTGCTACACATTTTTTGGTCGCCTCTCTGCCTGCCACATTCTGATTGCAATGAGCATGACTATAGTTTGGTCCAGTTAATTTATGAAACTTAAATTCATTAAAGGTTTCTATCCGAATAGTTCCACCTTTGGACCCACGGCAATTAGAAGATCAACCTCTTGGGCTGCATGGTGAACACCAGTACATGAATGCAGGCCTTGCAGTTGCATTGGCTAATACCTGGCTTGAGAGGCAAGGACATTTGGACAGAATACATGTCAAAGATCATGTAAGTATTCCAAACTGGCATTTATTTATTTTCCGCAAAAGGATAATGTTAGGATCAGTTATCATGTTACCATGGAGTGCAGGGCACCTTACCAGATCAGTTCATCAAAGGGCTATCGATTGCTTGTTTGCAAGGCCGAGCACAGATTGTCCCAGATCTACAAGTGAGCTCAGAATGTAAGGATGCCAGTTATCCCTTAGTTTTCTATTTGGATGGGGCACATAGCCCAGAAAGTATGGAAATATGCGCAAAGTGGTTTTCCCATGTTACGAAAAAGGATGCAGCACAACCAGGTCCTTTGGAGCAGCCTCGTAGTGGTATCAATTCTAAGAAGGTATGCTATGCCTTGCAGTGGCAGCCTTTCGGATTAAAGCAATGTTGAAATGGTCTCTCTCTCTCTCTCACACACACACATTCTCTTGTGGGACGCTTTCAGATTCTCCTGTTCAATTGCATGTCAGTAAGAGATCCTCAGATATTGCTTCCACGTCTTCTAGATACATGTGCTCAGAAAGGTACGTCAACATAATTCTTTGCTGATGTATCAATGATGATCTTGAACAATGCAACTATTTCATTTTGTAGTTACTAGCAAACATGCCCGTGCGTTGCAACGGGAGGAAAAATCATAGATCTGTAAACAAATTAGCATTGATGATTCCCCTCCTGACCTTCACATACTCTATTTTAACATGGCACTCATCCTCCATGTCGCCACTCATCTTCCTTTTCTATGGCCGCTTCCTGTGTTGCAAAACTCGATGCTCATGTCTTTGGAGCCCTTTTGCAGCTCGGACACGAGCCGCTCCTTTCAACCTCTCAGGATTTTGTATGTGTTATTATCCATCGTGTCCTTGCTCGGATTACCACCGTAATTCACCTCACTTTTTGTTAACGGTAGCCTGCTCCTTGTTTACTCCGTCATTTTGATCCGCGGCAGAATAAAAAAAATGGAGTAAATTAGCAGCACAGGATGATGTTTAACTAGATATCTTAAATAGCATCATGATTACCTGGGAATTGGTAACACCTTCTTTTGACAACTCACATGACTTGCCTGTTACTCATCACTCCATTGGCTAATACGTCATTGTTGCCCCACTCAAACGGAGACCAGGTTGCGGGTTGATCAAACCAGTCTCAGACTACAGTTGAACTAAATACAAAAAAATGTATCTATCTAAATAGGATCTTAAAATATAATAACATATGCGAAAATCTGCACGCATAGTTAATCTAACAAATATATTTCTCTATATGTACCATATGAGCTCTACTTAAAATATTAAATGTCAGATTCATGAATCTTTCCCCCTTTCCTTCAACTCAAAACCATGAATTAGCGATGATGGCTTTGGACCTGCCCATGAAAACGATTGCAGCAATGAACAAGATTTGTAGAGGATTCCTGTGGTGCAGAAGGAAGGAGGCGAATGGTGGTAACTGTGCAGTTGCTTGGGAGACTGTGTGCACCCCGAAGTGGGCTGGTGGTCTCGATCTGCCTAACCTACGCTGGATGAATGTGGCAATGCAAACTAGATGGCCATGGCTTAAGAGAACGGACAATACCAGACCTTGGAAGGAATTTAACATCAAAGTCCCCAAAGACTCGTTGCTACTCTTCAAAGCAGCCACAAGGAGCACTGCATGGGATGGTCAATCGACCTTGTTCTGGGAGGACCGCTGGTTGAATGGACAAAGGGTTCAGGAGGTCGCTCCCTTGATCTACAACATGATCCCGGCGCGGATTCGCACTAATCGGACAGTCCGGGAGGCCATGGGGGATGGAGCATGGGCACAGGATGTGGGTCCGAACTTAGGATTGGATGCTTTGCATGAGTTTCTTCTACTGTGGCATGAGGTCGTCGCTTGGGAGCCTACGGATGACGTGCAAGACGAATTTTCTTGGTCTTGGGAGGATAATGGGCAGTTCACGGTTCGATCGGCATATGCGGCAAAGTTCTGGCCGAGAGAAGTGGCACCCGCAGCGGATCTCACTTGGAAATCAAGGGCGCCCTCACAATGCAAAATTTTCACATGGTTTGCCCTGCGGGATAGATGCTGGACGTAGGACCGCCTGGCAAGGCGAGGACTACCGCATCAAGATGCATGCCCCTTTTGCGACCAGGAGGAGGAGGAGTCTATCAACCACATCTTGCTTACATGTGTTTTTGCCAGGGTGATCTGGGCGGAGTACTGTCAGGCCTGGGGAAAGCCGGATTGGGTGCCGTCGCAACATGACGCTCTCACGCCATGGTTGTAAAGATGGGGCCTAACAAAGCCAGTACGAAAGACTTGTGCACCATCCTTGGGCTTACCTTGTGGGAACTGTGGAAGCACAGGAATGCTATTGTCTTTGATGGCGTGCGGCCTTCGTGTGAGACGCTACATGGTAGGATTAGACTAGAGGGTCTAGTTTGGTTGTCGGCCGGCCTGCTAAAAGGAGATGTTGCACCCTGCTTTAGTCGGTTAGCGTGGTGGGATAGGCGTGAGGAGTGAAGTAGTATGTAAACTCTTGTAACTAACGGTGGAGGCATTCTTTTGCCCTTCTTTAATATATGATATGCACACTCGTGCATATTCGAGAAAAAAACCCCATGAATTAGCCTGTATGTGGAATAGATTTAAGAATCATACAATTCTAAGTTCTAATTAACAAATGGATCGCCACCCAGTTCTCAACTCTCCCCTAAAAAAAAGACACTCATGTGAAAAAAGAATAAAGAAGATATGTCTGTTATATTTCCCATGAGCTTTCTTCTTCTTCTTCTATTTTTTTGTTCTATCCCTCTTCTGCATTCTGATTTCTGTTTGGATTTATAAGAGGGACTGCCAAATCAGTTTACCAAACAATCCTTATTATTCACATTCTCTGCTTGCCATGTCCGAGTCTGGCATCTGCCGGGCGTACCGCGGCGGGCTGCACGATTAGCCAAAAAATTAGCCGCATACAGTGATGCCTTTAATCTTCTTATAAAATTTATTTCCTTCTTTTAATCCTCCCTTCCTTTAATTAGCCGCCAGTGATCGCTGGGTCGTTACTTGCCTCGCTGATGGACAGTGGAGATCCCAGTCGCTCAGATGGGCCGCCTAATCGCTGGTCCGTTTCTTGCCTTGCTAGAGGGACAGGACACAAACTTATTGTATGCTGAAATTGGAATCCTGTTCGGGCCAGTTAGTCTGGTTCAAATCCTGGGCACATCACATCCCTGTTCGTGCTCACAATACTGAAATTCATCAGTTCCCGCAAAGCTGGTTTGAGTGTGCACGCACGTCCATCCTATGGAATATATTCCTTGCAGTCCGTCCACATTTCATGACATTAAATCCTTTCCCTTTTTAATAGTCCCAAGACACAGCCGACAAATTCCATTCCATTCCCTTAGTTGCACACCTTTCCTTTTTAATAGCCCCACATGACAGCCCACAATTTCTGTTTAACGATCAGAATCTATGTACCTTCTTTATATATACCCTCGACAGCCCATAATTCATCTCGTCCGTCCTCCCTGTTGTTGTCAAGGCGTCTTGCTGATATGAATTTGCAATTCTATATAAACTGGTCCTTATGTGTCTTCAGGAGCGAGGTGGTATTATTAACACTAAATATGAATGCCCGAGTTGGTTGGTGCAGCTTGCGACTCTTATACTTCCAAGTCACGAGTTCGATCCCCCAGCGCGGCATTTTCTTTTTGCGTGGATGGTCCATACGAAAAGGCCCATCTGTGGCCCAGTAGCGCAGTGAAGACCGGGCTAGGCGCACGATTTTTTGCCGTACTAGCCCCCATCCGTAGCTACTCTTTTCACGAGGCTCACATATTCATGACGGAGTGCGTGTTGGTTAAAAAAATACAATGTCTTTTTTATAAATATTAATGACGGGACGAAACCAAGAATATCACCTTGCTTTATTAGTAGGTATAGACTCAGCATGTTTTGAGGAAACAAATTTCTACTAGAGCAATTGTTGGCTTTTACATTTTGCTTTTTTATTTTAGCTATGGCTTTTGTAAATAAGCTTGTACTCCTTGTTTTTTTCAGTTAATGAAATGGGCAGAGTCCCCGCCTTTAACGTCAAAGAGAAGTTGTTCATTTGCGTGCCATGTAGATAATCTGTCTTGTATTTCCATAATGGCTTGTGTGGTTGAATGAACTACCAGCAAGCGACTGTCTGAAGTCACTGGCATAATTTTCTTTGTGCTTACTTTTCAAAATGAACAATATACTACTACTGTAAGTTGAGTGGATGCTTTCGTTGCTCTTCTATAGTGACAAGTTATTTTGCCCAGGCCTCCGCTTTGATCAGGCCTTATTTGTGCCAAATCAATCGCAATACAACAAGCTTGGTTCACATGCATCACCACCTCCAGGGAGAGAGCAAATTGATTTGTCATGGCAGTTGTCACTCCAAACAGTCTGGGAAGACTTGCTTCGCGGCAAGAAAGGTATTCTAAAAATTCATCGCAGTTAGTTCTCAAACTGGGTTGTACTGTCAACACGACCATTTGAGTTAAAGATGATTGATGAACTTCAATGGGAACAATGCAGGTCTAAATGGCACAAGTTCTAGTGGGGCTAGTTTAGTTTTTGAATCTCTTCCATCAGCAATTAAGTGGCTAAGGGAAACTTCTCAACAAAACCAATCTACTTCATGCCAGGTAATTTTTTGGGCATATTTGATTGCTTTCAGTGATGTTCTCTGAAATGTCTCATAGCAGTACTTTTTTTTTGAAACGGAACACAGATTGCATTCCTCTTTCATATCATTGCTGGACAAGTCCCCAGCTACAAGGTTCTGAACAAACTCTGGGAATTGTCACAGCCAAGTAATACATGCACCAGAGTTCAATTTTGCTCCAAACGCTGCTAGCCTATGCGCCACTCGGTTACATGTTCGTGAACAGTTTACAACACATACATCTGAAAAACCTACATGTAACTGAAATTTAATCTCTCTGAAAATGGCCCCCAGTGCAGACAGGTCATATTCCTCAGTAGACACAGCCCTTCTCAACTGTGTAGAATCTGTTTCAAACATCACTCTATCACAACCCATTTGGCTAGCAATGTTTATTGCATACAACATAGCCACCGCTTCAGATTGGAAGGCATCAGCCATATGTTCCAGTTTGCCAGCACCTGCAGCTATAGCTGTACCTTGATCATTTCTAATAATAAATCCCCAACCTCCATCATTGGAAATCCTGTGAAAGCTGCATCAGTGTTGATCTTCAATATTCCTGAAGCTGGTTGTTATGACCGGTTTGGTCTATACTAGGAAGAGGCCCACCGGGCATTAGTATTAGGGGCTTGGCCCACAAGTTATCTTAGGCAAGTTATCTTAGGCTAAAGTTATAAATACTAGTTGTAAGACACCGTTGAGATCAAGCAATAAAGATATTATAATCTTCTGTTGCCCGGCTCCTTGAGGAGCCGGAACCCTAGCCGCCGCCTCCAACCCTAGCCGCGACGGCGCCTGTCCGCCGGCGCGCCCGCTCCAGCCCTCGTCCCCCTCCTCCTTGCCCATACAATCTGCGCCGGAGGCCTGGTAGGAACCCTAGTCCTACCAATTTGGTATCCAGAGCACCAGGCCGATCATGTCGCTTCCTCCATCACAGCCGCCGCTGCCAAACACCACCGCCTCACCTACGCTGCCGCCAGCCCCGTCCGCGTCCATGCCGGCGCTCATGTCCGGGACGGCCACCCCGACAGCGCCGACCGCCACTGCGGCGGAGCCGCCCCCCATCCTCTCGCCCGAGGAGGTCTCGGGTACCCTTCGGGAGCTCGTCCAGGCGGTCAAGGGCATCAGCCTCTATCTCGCCGGGAACCAGCCCCCGCCGCCGAGCGCCGCCACCACCGCCTACGGGCCGCCGCCGCTCCAGTGGCCCGCCCCGGCCTTCCAGTCGCCCTACGGCGGGCTGCCCCCGCCGCCGCTGCTGCTGCAGCACTACCCGGCCGCGGGGAACCCTTGGCCCGTGTGGCCGGCCGCCATCGCACCGCTGGGGGACCCTTCCCAGCAGCTTCTCCAGGCGCCCCCGCCGGCTACTTCGACGCTGGCTGCGGCGCCGCAGCTCCACCAGGCGCCGCCACCGTCGACAACATCACCACCCGTGCCCCGGCCCACTGGTCGGCCCCTACACCAGGTGCAGTTTCCGCCATCGCCATCGCCAATACCCGCGTGGGCGGCCGGCTCGTCTTCGGGCCTGGTGTATACCACGGCGCCGGAGCACCCGACGCCTTCCCTCCGGTTTGACCGTCCCTCCGGCTCGGCGACCTACGCCCCGGAGATTCTCGACCCGGCACACTCGCTGCCGCCGACTGCAGCAGCCCCCGGGCACGGCGGTCTGACACCCCCTCGCTTCGCCAAACTGGACTTCGCCACCTACGAGGGCACGGAGGACCCTCTCAACTGGCTCAACCAGTGCGAGCAGTTCTTTCGCAGACAACGGACGCTCGCTTCGGATCGTACCTGGCTCGCGTCCTATCATCTCCGCGGCGCGGCGCAGACCTGGTACTACGCCCTCGAGCAGGACGAGGGCGGCATGCCACCATGGGAGCGCTTCTGGGAGCTCTGTCTTCTCCGGTTCGGGCCTCCTATCCGCGGGAGCCGCCTGGCGGCCCTCGGCCGTTTACAGTTCACATCCACGGTCCAGGACTACGCCGACCGCTTCCAGGCCCTGGCGTGCCACGCGCCGAGCGTCTCCGGGATTCAGCGCGCCGAGTTATTTGTGGGCGCTCTGCCGGACCATATTCGCGTGGACGTCGAGCTCCGGGATCCCCCCGACCTCCAGACGGCCATGTAGTACGCCCGGGCTTTCGAGCAGCGGGCCCAGGCACTGCAGCAACAGCCCGGACGGGGCGGCCGCCAGCCCAGTCGACCAGCGCCGACTCCTCTAGCACCGGGCCGGCCTCCTCCAGCCGCGATGGCCGCGCCCCCGGCCACCACACGGACTTTCCATCGGTTGTCACCGGCTGAGCAGCAGGAGCGTCGCCGTCAGGGACTCTACTTCAACTGCGATGAGCCCTACACACCGACCCATGTTTGCCCCCGCCTATTTTACTTGGAGCTGGTCGACTACACCGAGGTGGACGACTCGACCGACGCGACACCACCACCCGAGGCGGCCGCGGACACGCCCGCGGATCCCACGGCGACGGCGTGTGTTGTCTCCCTCCACGCCCTCGCCGGCATCCGTGGCGAGCGGACCATGCTGCTGCCGGTGATGATCCATGACGAGCGGCTGGTGGCCCTGCTGGATACTGGCTCCACCCATAACTTCTTGCCCGAGGCGACCATGCGTCGGCTAGCCCTTCCGACGACGGGCGGGGAGCGCCTGCGGATCACGGTGGCGAACGGTGATCGCCTCCGGTGTCATGGGCTCGCCCGCGACGTTCCCATCTCCATTGGTGGCGAACACCTCTCCATTACCTGTGCAGGGATCGACCTCGGCTGCTTCGACTTCATCCTCGGGGTAGATTTTCTCCGGACCCTCGGTCCCATCCTATGGGACTTCGACGCGCTCACGATGACGTTCTGGTGGCTGGGCCGCCGCGTCCGGTGGGACGGCCTTGGGGGCGCTGCGCCAGCCGTGCCACATCTCCAGCTGATCGCCGTGTCCTCGGAGGCCGAGCAACCCCTGCTGGATTCCCTTCTGCAGCAGCACAGCGACCTCTTCGACGAGCCACGGGGTCTTCCGCCCGCCCGGGTGTACGACCATCATATTCACCTCATGCCGGGTACCCCTCCCGTGGCGGTTCGGCCCTACCGCTACCCTCAGCTGCAGAAGGATGAGTTGGAGCGCCAGTGTGCCCTTATGCTCGCCGCGGGCATCATCCGGATCTCCACGTCACCCTTCACCGTCCCGGTGCTGCTCGTCCGCAAGTCGGACGACACTTGGCGTTTCTGCATCGACTACCGCGCCCTGAACGCGCTCACGCTCAAGGACAAGTTCCCTATACCGGTGGTCGACGAGCTCTTGGATGAGCTCCATGGGGCGCGCTTCTTCACCAAGCTCGATCTCCGGTCGGGCTATCATCAGGTGCGTATGCATCCCGACGACATCGCTAAGACGGCGTTTCTTACCCACCATGGCCACTTTGAGTTCTTGGTGATGCCCTTCGGCCTCGCCAACGCCCCAGCGACTTTCCAGGCCCTGATGAACGACGTCCTCCGGCCCTACTTACGGCGGTTTGTGCTTGTTTTCTTTGATGACATTCTTATCTATAGCGCCACCTGGGCTGAGCACCTCCAGCACGTCACCATCGTCTTCAACGAGCTTCGGGCACACCACCTCCACCTTAAGCGCTCGAAGTGCTCGTTCGGGACACCTACCGTCGCCTACCTCGGCCATGTCATCTCTGCCGACGGGGTGGCTATGGACGCCGACAAGGTGGCGGCCGTCTCCGCATGGCCGACACCTCGCTCGCCGCGGGCTCTCCGCGGGTTCCTCGGCCTCGCCGGCTACTACCGAAAATTTATCCGGGAGTTCGGGCTCATCGCGGCGCCCCTCACGCGGTTGCTTCGCCGCGACGCTTTCGCTTGGGACGACGAGGCGACGACGGCATTCGAGGCCCTCAAGGGGGCCCTCACGACGGGCCCCGTCCTCCAGATGCCCGACTTTGACCGCCCGTTCGTGGTGGACTGTGACGCCTCGGGCGCTGGTTTCGGCGCCGTGCTTCATCAGGGCGATGGACCCCTCGCCTTCTTCAGCCGGCCTTTCGCTCCTCGCCATCTCAAGCTGGCGGCATACGAGCGGGAGCTCATTGGCCTTGTGCAGGCTGTTCGTCATTGGCGGCTGTACTTGTGGGGACGGTCCTTCCACATTCGCACGGACCACTACAGCCTGAAGTTCTTGCTGGACCAACGACTGTCGACCGTGCCACAGCACCAGTGGATCAGCAAGCTCTTCGGCTTCGACTTCTCCGTCGAGTATCGGCCGGGTCGCCTTAACACCGTGGCCGATGCGCTGTCCCGTCGCGACTCCGACATCGCTCCCTTCGTCAACGAGTTTGCCGGGGCGGTCCTGTGCATCCGCTCCGGGCCGACGTTCGGTCTCTTCGCCGACATCCGCCGCGCAACTGCGACGGCTGACGACGCCGTCCTTCTTTGGCAGCAGCTCACGTCCGGTGACCTGGAGGAGCCTTGGCGCTTCTCTGACGGACTGCTTCTCCATGGGCGCCGGATCTTTGTTCCGGCGCATGATGATCTCCGTCACTAGGTGTTACAGCTCGCCCACTCGGCAGGCCATGAGGGTGTGCAGAAAACCCTCCATCGTCTTCGCGCCGACTTCTACATCCCTGGCGATCGCGCCCTGGTCCGTGACTGGGTTCGGTCTTGTCAGACATGCCAGCGCAACAAGACAGAGACCCTGCGGCCGTCTGGGTTACTTCAGCCCTTGGAGGTGCCGTCTCAGGTCTGGGCGGATATCTCCATGGACTTCATCGAGGGCCTCCCCAAGGTGGGCGGCAAGTCGGCATCCTCACGGTGGTCGACCGCTTCTCCAAGTACGCCCACTTCATCGCGCTCGGCCATCCGTACACGGCGGCGTCCGTGGCCCGGGCCTTCTTCGACGGCATTGTCCGCCTACACGGGTTCCCTGCTTCGATCGTCAGTGATAGGGACCCAGTATTCACGGGCCATGTCTGGCGCAACCTCTTCAGGATGGCGGGTGTCCAGCTCCGCCTGAGTACGGCGTTCCATCCCTAGACAGACGGTCAGTCCGAGGTGGTTAACAAGGTCATTGCCATGTATTTGCGTTGTGTGACAGGTGATCGGCCTCGCGCTTGGGTGGACTGGCTCTCTTGGGCGGAGTACTGCTACAACACCTCCTATCACTCCGCCCTGCGCGCTACGCCGTTTGAGGTGGTCTATGGTCGACCACCCCCGCCTATACTACCGGTGGACCCGGAGACGGCTCGGACAGCGGTTGCGGGTGACCTTATCCGCACCCGTGACGAGATGCTTGCTGAGGTCCGTCAGCGTCTCTTTCAGGCCCAGCAGCTGGCCAAGCATTACTACGACGATCATCATCGCGAGGCGGAGTTCGCGGTCGGTGATTGGGTGTGGCTGCGTCTTCTCCACCGCTCTACGCAGTCACTTGACCCGCGCGCCAAGCGCAAGCTCGGGCCTCGCTACGCCGGGCCCTTCCCTATCTTGGAGCGCATTGGGAAGGTGGCCTATCGTCTTCAGCTTCCAGCCTGCGCTCGCATCCATGACGTCTTCCATGTGGGGCTGCTCAAGCCTTTCCGTGGCGAGCCACCGGCGGCTCCTCCGGCGCTTCCGCCAACCGCCGATGGTCGCATTCTTCCAGAGCCGGCAAAGGTGTTGCAGGCACAGCTCCGTCTGGTGTCTGGTTTGTCCTCGTCCAGTGGGCGGGCCTTCCGGAGGAGGAGGCTACTTGGGAGCAGCGTGAGGATTTTCGCCAACACTATCCAGACTTTCAGCTCGAGGACGAGCTGTTTGCGCAGGCGGGGAGAGATGTTATGACTGGTTTGGTCTATACTAGGAAGAGGGCCACCGGGCATTAGTATTAGGGGCTTGCCCCACAAGTTATCTTAGGCAAGTTATCTTAGGCTAAAGTTATAAATACTAGTTGTAAGACACTGTTGAGATCAAGCAATAAAGATATTATAATCTTCTGTTGCCCGGCTCCTTGAGGAGCCGGAACCCTAGCCGCCGCCGCCTCCAACCCTAGCCGCGCCGGCGCCTGTCCGCCGGCGCGCCCGCTCCAGCCCTCGTCCCCCTCCTCCTTGCCCATACAATCTGCGCCGGAGGCCTGGTAGGAACCCTAGTCCTACCACTGGTCTTGTCCACTTTTGCTTTGGCTGTTGGGCTATCCCCTTCCCTTTCTCCTGTACCTTCATGACATAGCAGTACTACATTATGTCATGCGATGACTGGAGTATTTCACCCAGCCCTCCATAACTAGCTACCCCCCTCTAGGCATTTTAGGATTCGCTATCACTTATCCTTTACTGACCCTCATTCACACATGTATGTAATTGTCTGTCCTTTTGGCATATATTATTCTTCTACTTGTTCAATTCACGTTCATTTGCTTGTTTGTTTGTTTACTTCTTCTGGTTCTGCTATTCCATGATTTATACCTGCCATTTTATTACACTGGTGTTTTGGTTTGCTTTATGTTTATTCAGTTCTGCTAATCCATGACTAAGAACATGTGTTATGTATCTGTATTTATTCTCTTGCAAGTTGCAACTACTTTCCTACTCAATTCTTATAGGTTTGTTTTTGTGTACTGAATCAGGTCTTGGTTACTGGCTCCCTGCATCTCATTGGCGATGTCTTAAGATTGATTAAGACCTGATTCTCCTTGTGTCTTCTTGGTGATGTCTCGAGATTTCTCAAGTAAATTTGGTTGGAATACAAGGTTCAGATTGAAGTGTCTGTTTACTAGACCACCATACACCGGAGCCTATTGTTATTTATGATTGGCATCCACAATACAACTACCTGGCTGAAGAATGGGAGACTTGAAGGCCTTTTTATTCTGACGTTGACTAGGCGCAAACATGTTGTACTACCTCATTTTTTGTTTCTGCCTATGTGGGCGCTTGTACAACACTGTAGCCCATTTTTGTTTAAATATATTCGCTCTGCTTTGGAGTGTACAAACAGCGAACTATATTATGATACGAATAACCATGCAAATTTTCAAACTTGGAATAACAATGTTTTCCAAGCTTCGATTCTTCAAAAATTATTGTGTCAAATCCGGATACTCTTCATACCGGCATTCCTTGTTGGAAGATAGAGAATAGACTGACTAATTGTCAGGTACTTTTCCTGCACATCCATCGTAACTTTACTTTGCATTGAAGCAGACAGGACTGACAGGTCACTCTTTTGCAGAGCAAATTCTTGGGACTGAAGCTAGATCAGAGGTATCCTGTTGTTGGTTTGTGGCCCTGAGAAAATAGAGTATGTACATAATGTGAATCCAAATTGGTAATGTTTCACCTTCATTTCTCTTGTTTCTCCATTTCATAGACTAAAGCTACTAGCAACTGAATTGCTCATTTAGATAATTCTAGGAGTTATCTTTTTGTGCCTTGAATTTTTATATAAGCTTTTGCTGCATCGTTTCTTTGTCTCTGAAAAGCTGTTTGGGTTCAAGGCCAAACAAGGTCTTGGTGTTTATTCATTGTATATTCAAGTGCATGTTATTTGATATATTTATCATATGTGCTGTAAACGAGCATGTTTTTTCTGGTTATATTGAGAATGCATGTGTGTCTTTCTGGGTGCACTAAGAATGGATTTAACATCGATCACCTTCGTGCAAGAAAAACTTCTTGACCGACAGATAACAACGCCTTCTAATTTCGCAATACTTCTCCCTATGTCCTGGACTATTGTTAGTATTTAGTTATCTTTGGACACTAAATATAGTTGAACACTTTGTATAGGAGAATAACCACAAATTAGAACCGTGCAAGGAGTAATCTCCAAAGTTAGCATTATGACGTGGCACATCTATTCCCATCTCTGACCTTTTCCTGTGGCTTGGTGTTAGAGCCTAGCCTCTTCTATTTTAACTTCTACCTCTCCCAAATCCGGTTTCAGGCATTCATTTAAAGCCTTCCACTGCTTCTGGGTCCAACCTCTCTTTGGCTTTCATCTGCTTCTATTAGGTCGCAGATCGAGAGCCGAAGACAGGTTATCTTGATAGCATTAGAAGGCTTGAGCCAGACAACTCTTGTTAGCAACTGAGTGGCATATTTCGCTAGGTTTCACCACCAAGAATATCAAGATGACATTCTATGGTACACAGGACAAGTGCAAGGCTTGTGACAAGACCGTTCATTTCATTGACCTCCTTACTGCGGATGGCATTCCCTACCACAAGTATTGCTTCAAATGCAGCCATTGCAAAGGCACTCTTTCGGTAATGCCCCCTTCTTGACATTTGCTGTCGGATGCATCAGTTTCTCACATCCCTTTGCTCTGTGATCTTCTGAATTATGTCTTGTGCATGAGCTCACGTTGAACTGCACTATTTCTAGATGTGCAGCTACTCCTCCATGGATGGAGTTCTTTTCTGCAAGACTCATTTTGAGCAGCTTTTCAAGGAAACAGGCAGCTTCAAGAAAAACTTCCCCACATGTAAGTTTGTCCTGCATTGCTCTTCCCGCTGTTGTTTTGTTTGCAATTACAACAGAAATCTCATCACATTGTACTTGTTCTTTTTTTTTGTTCAGGCGCAAAGGCAAATAATGAGCAGGTATTGCTTTCTCGCCATTCTGTGGGCCACACTTATATTTGTTGTGAAATGATTATGAAAAAATATATATTGCAGCCCAATAGGTTATCCTTTGCTGCTGATTTAATGCGAGTATTTCGTAGAGTACAATCAGCAATATCATTATTTCCCAATTTGTCACAGATTGCAGCTCATAAGTCGTTTTTTCCCTTACAGTCTAAGGTCCCAAACAAGTATGGCTCTGTGTTCTGTGGAACTCAGGACAAGTGTGCTGCCTGCAAGAAGACTGTGTACCCATTGGAGAAGGTAAGAAATTTCCATTCTTGAACGATTAAGCCGGTCACGATTAAGCAGTGGAAACTTCGGTAACTGGGAAATCTCAACTTTTGACTAACAAAATTCAAGAGCAATAAAATGAACATGCATATATCTGTTTGCATCATTTCAGTCCTTGATCAACCTACCCAAATTTCATGAGTAATCTTTTGGACACGACAGACTACGCATACGCCTGTTGCCTCGTTTTCCATATGCAAAAGTCTGTCTGATAATTTCAATTCCTTGGCAGATGACCTTGGAGGGCGAGCCCTACCACAAGACCTGCTTCAAGTGCGCTCACGGCGGCTGCATCCTGACGACCGCATCCTGCGCCTCCCTTAACGGGATCCTATACTGCCAGAACCACTTCTGGCAGCTGTTCAAGGAGACGGGCAGCTACAGCAACCTGCTCAAGCCCGCCTCGGCCAAGAACGCCGACGAGCCAGAGGCAGCCAAGGAAGAGGAGCAGGCGCCGGAAGCTGCCGAGGACCAGGAGAGCTCATAAGAACTTAAACGTGTACAAGAACCTACATACATGTTCGTTCCCCACGCTGATGTTGCTCTTGTGTATTGCTGCTGCTGCCCATTTTTCTCTTATCTCAGAGGCACGCAGCGGCTGTTATGCATCTTACTGCCTTGGCTATCGCAATCCTGAATTCTGTACCTCATTGCCCGTGCCATCGGTCCCGTGAATGGTAGCAGAATTTGCACGAGTTTGTTCTATCTTGGTCTTGCAATTCCAAGGATATTCGCTAGCCTTTGACGGGTCCAGGTCGAAAGAAGGGGAAAAGGGACGCATTCATCGGACACTATTCTTCTTGCTCTTTTTTCTCTCCTCTAAAAATGGTATTAGAAGACAATTCAAACTCTAGACATTCGCCCGGTTGCCCCACGCCCCTGTTCTTCTGCAGTATCGTAACGTGCCTGTGTTATATTCCTTTATCGTACATAAACCAGGAGACAGGTGATTGACAACGAAACAACCTCCAAGGTCATAAAAGGAAGAGAGCTGCACGCACCGGCAAATCCAATCTACCAGACAGGTTGTGTGTGGATGCTATTGCTGGGCAAATTGTCCAAGATTAGCCTCATCAGAATGTTGGTTGATAGACACGTTTTTTCTGTAGAGAAAACAGACTCAGATTCATTTCCTGAGAAGCTAAAACAGCGCTGTCTCTTTCCTCAAAAAAGCAAAAGCGCGCTCTTTCAACCAGTGATCGTCTACGTGCAGAGCACATTTCGACTTACATTATTTTTTCGATAAAAGGGTGTTTTATTACTCAAAAGGTTTAAACATTAATCCTGCCTCGGTATAAATGAGATGCACACAAGCATAACCAAGTACGCCTAAGACGTAGGAGGGCCAATCCAAAAATCATGTTGTCATCCATGTTAGGTAAAAATGTCTCTTGCCGTGGCCTCCAATCATGTAAGCACCTCCGTAAACAGATATCAATTCTCCACACATTGTAAAGACGATCATAAACGAAGCGTACTAGTGCATCTATAGATAACCTGCATAAAAAAAGTATTTTTATCATTAAAAAACTTATCATTTCAACATAGCTGAAGCGACCAAATAACGGCAAGCGCTCCCGCCTTGAAAATAATTCTAAACCTGTATTCAATCCCATATAACCAGTTGTCGTATATATTTGCAACATTAGGTGGAGGATACAAGCTAGAAGCTACTTGAATGATTGATCATATAGAACGAAGCCATTTTGCAATGGAAAACAAGTGTTTTATTGTCTCATTGATGACAAAACACACAATGTGTACTTCCATATCACTTCCTCTTAATGAAGATAATCTTTGCTAAGAATGACTCCTCGACGAAGATACCATGCAAAGATTTTAATAAAACACTGCTTCGAGGTAAAGGCATAGTAAAGCATGTTCATTACATTTCACTCTCTCCCAGTTGTTTAAAATTGTGGTACATCTTGGCCACATTTCCTAGAAATCCAAAGCGTATGTGGGCATACGAGGTACCCGATTACACGACGAAACCTAACAAGGTTCAAAGTAAACGCCTACAATTTTTAAGACATGACTATGGACACTTCTCCACGTGAACTAAATTAACATAATATATTTAGCATCATCTCTCTATCATCACGCCATAGATGATCTGCCGCCCGGTCCATCCCTCTCACGACCTTTCTATCTAGCCTTTTAGTTCGGTGCAGTGTGTTTTGGCTACACCGTGCTTTTAGATATTAGGTTTGGCTACACATGTTTGATTCAAACACGTAGCACTTCACTAATTATAGCCTAACACATAAACATATTCGTCAAGGTTTCAACAACCTCAAGTGATATGAATTTCAACAAAATGTTACCTATGCTAGCAACCATATATGGCTAGAAATATCTGAAGACATATGCGACCAAGCTAAGGGGACAGGGATCAATGTACGAGGATTGCTAATTTAAAGGAAGAAGATGCGAACACGAATTTTGCAGTGTGCGAGGATTACCAATTTAAAGGAAGGAGACGCGAACACACACAAAAATTCATCGCCACCAATGCAAGGAGGAAGAATTACATCCATAGGCTCATGCATCGACAAGGTTGGGTCACCGACCACAAAACCAAGGAGAAGATCATACATGAGCACCTCTCCGACATCATGGGACGGGAGACTAGAGTGCCAAAGATTTTAATTGGAATGAACTCAACTTGGAGGTTCACGACTTGTATGAACTTGACAACCCCATCTCGGAAGAAGAGGTCAAGGAGGCCATCAATGACATGCCAAGTGACAAGGCACCCGGGTTGGATGGCTTCACCAGTGCATTCTTTAAGAAATGTTGGGGGTATCATAAAGGGTTATATCTGAAGGAAATATGCCCTAGAGGCAATAATAAAGTTGTTATTTTATATTTTCTTATTCATGATAAAGGTTTATTATTCATGCTAGAATTATATTGATCGGAAACTTAAATACATGTGTGAATACATAAACAAATACCATGTCCTTAGTAAGCCTTTACTAGACTAGCTCATTGATCAAAGATGGTTAAGGTTTCCTAACCATGGACATGTGTTGTCATTTGATAATGGGATCACATCACTAGGAGAATGATGTGATGGACAAGACCCATCTGTTAGCTTAGCATAATGATCGTTCAGTTTATTGCTATTGCTTTCTTCATGTCAAATACATATTCCTCCAATTATGAGATTATGCAACTCCCGGATACCGGAGGAATACCTTGTGTGCGATCAAACGTCACAAGTAACTGGGTGATCATAAAGATGCTCTACATGTATCTCGGAAGGTGTTTTTTGAGTTGGCATAGATCGAGATTAGGATTTGTCACTCTGAGTATTAGAGAGGTATCTCTGGGCCCTCTCGGTAATACACATCGCAAGCTTGCAAGCAAATGACTAAGGAGTTAGTTATGAGATGATGTATTATGAAACGAGTAAAAAGACTTGCCGTTAATGAGATTGAACTAGGCATGAAGATACCGATGATCGACTCTCGGGCAACTAACATACCGATGGACAAAGGGAATTACGTATGTTGTCATAACGGTTCAACCGATAAAGATCTTCGTAGAATATGTAGGAGCCAATCTGGGCATCCAGGTTACACTATTGGTTATTGACCGGAGAGGTGTCTCGGTCATGTCTACATAGTTCTCGAACCCGTAGGGTCCGCACGCTTAACGATCGTTGACGATATAGTGTTATATGAGTTATATGATTTGGTGACCGAATGTTGTTCGGAGTTCCGGGTGAGATCACGGACATGACGAGGAGTCTCGAAATGGTCGAGAGGTAAAGATTGATATATAAGACGATGGTATTTGTGAAGGAAATATGCCCTAGAGTCAATAATAAAGTTGTTATTTATATTTCCTTATATCATGATAAATGTTTATTATTTATGCTAGAATTGTATTAACCGGAAACTTAGTACATGTGTGAATACATAGACAAAATAGAGTGTCCCAAGTATGCCTCTACTTGACTAGCTTGTAATCAAAGATGGTTAAGTTTCCCGGCCATATACATGTGTTGTCATTTGATGAACGGGATCACATCATTAGAGAATGATGTGATAGACAAGACCCATCTGTTACCTTAGCATAATGATCGTTTAGTTTTATTGCTATTGCTTTCTTCATGACTTATACATATTCCTCTGACTATGAGATTATGCAACTCCCGAATACCGGAGGAACACCTTGTGTGCTATCAAATGTCACAACATAACTAGGTGATTATAAAGATGCTCTACAGGTGTCTCCGAAGGTGTTTGTTGGGTTGGCATGGATCAAGATTAGGATTTGTCACTCCGTGTATCGGAGAGGTATCTCTGGGTCCTCTCAATAATGCACATCACTATAAGCCTTGAAAGTAATGTGACTAATGAGTTAGTTGCGGGATGATGCATTAAGAAACGAGTAAAGAGACTTGCCGGTAACGAGACTGAACTAGGTATGATGATACCGACGATCGAATCTTGGGCAAGTAACATACCAATGACAAAGGGAATGACGTATGTTGTTATGCGGTTTGACCGATAAAGATCTTTGTAGAATATGTAGGAACCAATATGAGCATCCAGGTTCCGCTATTGGTTATTAACCGGAGATGTGTCTCGGTCATGTCTACATAGTTCTCGAACCCGTAGGGTCCACACACTTAACGTTCGATGACGATTTGCATTATGAATTATGTGTTTTGGTGACCGAAGTTTGTTTGGAGTCCCGGATGAGATCACGGACATGACGAGGGGTCTCGAAATAGTCGAGAGGTAAAGATTCATATATTGGAAGGTTATATACGGACACCGGAATGATTCCGAAGAGGTCCAGGGATTTTTCGGAGTACTGGGAGGTTACCGGACCCCCCCCCCCACAGGAAAGTTAATGGGCCTCATGGGCCATAGTGGAGAGAGGGAGTAAGGCCAGAAGAGGAGGCGCATGCCTCCCCCCTGCCCAATCTGAATTGGACAAGGGGTGGGGGTGCGACCCCCTTTCCTTCTCCCTCTCCCCTCTTTCCCCTTTCCCCTCTCCGTTGGAAGGAAGGGGGGCGAATCCTACTAGGAGTGGAGTCCTAGTAGGACTTCCCCCCATGGCGCGCCACCCCTAGGGCCAGCCACCTCCTCCTCCCCTCCTTTACATACGGGGGCGGGGGGGGGGGGCACCCCAAAGGCACATCAATAGTTCTCTTAGCCGTGTGCAGTGCCCCCCTCCATAGTTTACTCCTTCGGTCATAGTGTCGTAGTTCTTAGGCAAAGCCCTGCGCGCATCACATCACCATCATTGTCACCACGCCGTCGTGCTGATGGAACTCTCCCTCGACCCTCTACTGGATCAGGAGTTCGAGGGACATCATCGAGCTGAACGTGTGCTGAACACGGAGGTGCCGTATGTTCGACACTTGGATCGGTTGGATCGTGAAGACCTTCGACTACATCAACCGCATTAACCTAACGCTTCCGCTTTCGGTCTACGAGGGTACGTGGACACACTCTATCCCCT